CCCCATCTCCTCCCAAACAAAGATACATAATCAATGTGTTAAAATATATGAACACATATGGAGTACATCCCCTATCTCCTCCCAAACAAAGATGCATATGCAAAGTATTTATGCATATGAGCACATATGGAGTACATCCCTCATCTCCTCCCAAACAAAGATACATATACAATGTACTTAGGCAATTATCATATACAATGATCAATTAATCCACATATTCGATGTATTATTCCAACCCTCTCGGAGGATATTCCACGTTAGCCGAAACCTGTGCCAGCTATCTGGTTGTCTTCGTGGAGCCAATCAGCGATTGGTCGGGCACAGAGTAATATGTATAATGGAAAGTCTAGACATATCCGTCGTAGACATAATTCCATACGACAACTACTCTCAAATGGAGTTGTCTCTCTAGACTATGTCAAGTTTAAGGACAACATTGCGGATCTGCTAACCAAAGGGTTAACTCGAGAGTTAATAGAAAAGTCGTTAAGAGGAATGGGGTTAAGGCCTTTAGTAAAGGTTACCAGAACGGAAAACCCAACGTAGTTGACTGGAGATCCCAAGATCTAGGTTCAAAGGGACAACCTAACTTCGTGTAACGGGTGAGTCACTGAAGAGGTAAATCCTCTTGCCCATTCCTTTATACAGTGATGCCCTGTGGGGGTGGAAGGTTAAGCTAATGCTTTTAATGACCTTAGTGATGTGGTATAATGAAATACCGTATCTAGGTCACCTATGTGAGTGCGAAGTGGAGCCGCTTCTTTAAGAATTGCCAAGGCCGAATTCTTTAAAAACACTCACAGAACCAGGCTAGTGTTCCAGGGCCATACCGGATACACCGGTGAGAACAAGAACAATGGTTAGACTAACTCCTGTGTGAGGTCTATTGTCTCGGTTTACATAAGTGGCAGAATAGTTCAAGACATCACGTTCACTGGTCAGCCAGTCAACCCGATAGGCTTTCATTACGAAAGGTTCAAGGCCAACAGCTACCTTTTCTGATGCAGGGTTAGTCTGTGTGCTCTCTCTCTTTCCGAGTCTTTGTTGATAAACGTTGAGCGTTTGCTGTATTCGGTCAATTTTTATTCATGTGGGGGATTGTTGGAGAAAAATGGCTGAATGAGAAATTGCCTCATAAATGTGTATATAACTCACACATTTAAGGCTCATCAGTTTTACAAAATTGATTGGGCAGTTTTACTAGCATTAGTTGCCAGCCTTGATGGCTAGAGGCTCCTCCCCTCTCCCCCATGGTGTATAAAAGGAGGCCCTATTCCTTGAAAAGAAAAAAATATATAGAATTTTTCCTTGGCATCCATACCCTGTCAGTCTACTTCTCCTATAATTTTCTTCCTGAGAGAGAGTGCTGCCGTTGTTAGTTCGCTAAGCTAATCAGAAGGTGCTTCTGTTGTAGCTGGTAAAAACCGTCGTATCCTGGGAAGTAGACGCCGGCGTACCTCCAGCACCAAACGGTGAGGCGGCGAATCTATTTTAAGGAGAGTGTGGTATCACACAGGCTTCGGTTTGCTTCCTTTAACCATTTTATATTTTATCTGTATTTTATTCAGCATGTTATATTTTCTAGGATTGAAGGTTTGTTTTGTTCATCTCTTAATTTTGTGATATGCAATGTGAAATTATGTAATGTGAGTAGTTTTTCCCAACAAAAATTAATGTAAGTTGTCACATTACTTTGTTTACTTTTTTGCACTGTTTTCTTAAAATATTAAAAAGTTAATTAAAATAGTCAATTTACAAATGTGATGTCTAATAGCTTGAGAAAAACAATTCAAAATGAGTGTGTTTTAGAAAATGTTTTTAAAAAAGTCAAAAGATGTTGTAGTGTCCCGTACAATGACTTATCTTTTATAATTCAATAAGTAATTTATGTGATATAATGTAAAATAATTTGTTGAAGATTATTTTATTTTATTTTTTCGATGGGCATTTTATTAATGTGTGGCAAAATATAATATAAAACAAAAATAACAAGGTCATTAGATTATGGGTTTGGTTTTGACCCCAAAACCAATGATTACGAGGTCATGAGATTTTATTTTATTTTATTTTATTTTTTAACTTACAAGGTCATAAGATTGGCACGAGGCTTTGTGGTCAACAAAAGTATTGTGAATTTCATATTGATATCTATAAAGTAAGTGTCAATCCTAGCGTAATTAGTTTGTTTCGAATGCTTTTGGCAGCAATGTACATGAAGATCAATTTGAGTATATGGCAGTAGATGCGGAAGGCAGAGCAGGTGGGTTGCTCTATGTATGGAATCCAACGGTGTTTCAAATTCATGAGTGTTATGGCAACCGGAATTTCATCTTAATGTCAGGCACGGTGTATCCCAAGGGGTACCCAGGTGTTTTAGAGAGGGAGGTTATGGGCAAAATGGGCTAGACCCATTGGACCCAAAAATCACCACACGCGCGCCGCCGCCGTCCGTCCGGTCAGTCGAGCTTGGGCTCGGGTGTGAGGTTGCGTTGGGTTTGTCCGGCCCAATACCTATCTTTTTGGGTCAAAAACATTTGAATTTAATTTTATTTTTTGAAAAATAAAATCCAGAATTCAAATTAATTCCGGAAATAAACTGGTCCGGTTTTTTCTGTACACCCAAACAGGTCCCTTCCCGTTTTTTATCTATTTGAATTTTGAACCCAAAAGATTCAAATCTGTTTAAATTCAAAACCAAACAGGTTTCAAACCTATTCAAACAGGTTTGCACTTGTTTAATTCAAAACCTGCAGCCACCAATACATCTATAAATAGGACAGCCCTCATTTGATGTTTTACATTCAGAAATTTCGTACTTCACCTCTACAAATTTATTTTTCATTTTACTACATTTAATTTTTGTGAGAGAGAGTATAAAACACTTAGTGTGTTCGTTGTACAAATATATTGTAGTGCTGCATATATTTGTTATTGATCATTTCATCCTGGGAGATAGACGTGCACATTCTGAAAGCACCGTGGAGAGGACGAATTTGTCTTAAGGACACAGTGTCAAACACTGGACTTGATCAGAATAATATCCAAGATATTAATCAAGTAAGTTATTTATTTATTTTTTG